CCCCAAAACCCCAAAACCCCAAAACCCCACTAACTTTAATTATGATGAATGAGTGTGTTAAAACTTGTTAGTAAAAAATATAAAAAGAAAATTATATTTTAATTGCATCATGTCTTTAATAGTGCCCGAAAATATTAAGGTTAATTCGGCTACTGCTTCCCCTAGAGAAACCTCAGCAAGTAAAAGGTAAAGCTTTCAACAGAAAAAGAGTTTCTTTGGGCAATCAATCGTAAAAGACTTCCTACTTGATGACATTGAAAGTACAAAGCTGTCATCTAAATTTGAAGTAACTAAAATTCAATAACATATTCAATTTTAATCATAATACAGGCTATAAAAGCAATACTGGAAAAACCGTCAAATTTGAGAACTGAGTATGATTTAGAGAAGCTTGTACCTCTGATTAAAACCATTGAGTTCTTTGGGTAGAGGGATATAAAGGACTAGGATTACCCAGATATCGTGCAGTGTTTGACTTACGAGTCAATGAAAGCAGGAAGTAACGTTTTCGAATTCGGTAAGTTATACTAAATATTTTGATATTTTAACCCCAATTTTATTCACATTTTGTAACGAAATTAGGTTCAATGGGCGATAAATTCTATATCATATTGCAAGGAGCAGTAAGTGTATGGGTACCAAATTAAGACATCAAGGAGTTCAAAAAGAAATACGATGAGCATCTTAGGCATCTATAGGTGATGCAAATGTCGTAATAGTAGAATATTGCAGCGACACCTGGAAGGTAGAATAGTGGTTCTGGAACTAAGCATTTTTTTATGCCTAAACTCAAGAACAAGACTAAATCTTATAACCCACAACTAAATGGCAGCAAGAATAGCAACCTGATGATTACTCAAAGTATCAAGTTGTAAACAGAGAGCATTGATAATAGAAATGAATCGATATTTGAGTTGCCTCAGGAGTTGGAGCTTGATGAGGAACAGCAAGATGAGGAGATTGATGAAAGAGATAGTCTGCTCCCTTCCTTTGATGAAAGGGCTCTTGATGAGAATTCTAGACCTGTATCGCAGAATAAATTCAACATCACAAAGTGGCAGATTCTAGAGAGTCAAAATTACTTCCGCAGGTCTACTAAGGGAGAAGAACCGCCATTATTCATAGAATCAATAAGAATGAAGTCAGGTAAATCTTTTGGAGAGTTAGCTCTAATCAAGAACAAGCCCAGAGCTGCCACTATCAAATGCCTAGAGGACTGTCACTTCGCAGTGATGTCACAGTCAGATTTCATGAAGGTGCTGAACAAGATAGAGTAGAAAAACATCAGCAGAATTGTGGAGTTTCTGCATCAACTGCCCTTTTTCAAGGTCTGGACTCGTACTTCTCTTGGAAAGCTTCAGTACTCTTTTGAGCAGAAGCACTTTCTAAGAAACTAAGTATTGATCAGAGAAGGGTAAGATGCAAATACTGCTTACATCATTCTGAATGGGGAGTTTGAAGTTACTAAGAAATTCAGGAAGGAAGAAGTCAAGGAGGTTGATATAACCAAGCTGCTTAAATTAAACCAAAAGCATGAGAAAAAACTAGTAGATGATAAATTTGGAGAAGTGACTCAAGAGAAATCAAAGAAAAAGACAACTGGCTGAGGATCTACTGGTGGCTCAAATCATGCCTAACTTCAGTTGGCTTCAAGATAGAGAAACGTAGAGACCTTCAAGATTGCGCTGCTAGGTCCAGGGCAAATGTTTGGGGAAGACGATTTAGTTCATGAAAGGCCATACTCCTCAACCATCATCTGTAGATCAAATTATGGATAGGTCTTTGCCATAAAGCAAAATGAGTTCTTTAGAAGGCTGAGAGCTAATGAAGAGTGCTGGAAGATCATTCTGCAGCAAGTCAAGATTAAGGACCAGCAGACAAAGTCTAGAATGAAAAAGATTGAGAAGGTGTTTCATGAAGAAATACCCAATTTAACTGAAAATCAGCAGGTTCCAAGAATAGGCTATGACAAGGCTGAACAAGCAAGACTGTAAAAGTATCCATCGATAATGACAAAATACAATATCAAGCCTACCAGGTCAAAGCTCTATGACTTTAGAGAGACCATCAGAGAGATAGTCAATAAAGAACAGATCTAGTTTGAAGAAACATAGATCCAATAAGAGCTCTATGAAACAGACTAGGAAAACTACAACTCTGCTAAGGAGAATTTTAAATCGCCTGAAAGAAGATCCAATTCAAGGAAGGACTAGAATAGCAATACTACCAGTCAGAAGAATCTGAAATAAAATAGCAATAGCAGAAACTTGTCGCTAAGTCCTTCGCAGATATACAACGACATACAAAATTCTGACTAGAATTCAAGGTAACAGAATAGAAGTTTGAATTATACAGCACAAGCAAATAAGATTTCCTCTGCTAACTATAGGTAGTAGATCCTACTGTCAGCTAATGCAAGTGCAAAGAGAGACCTGGAATAACTATCTTAGACTAATCTAAGATAGTCTATAGGCTTAGTCTCAGATTTCAATTCTTAACGATCTGCAGGTGGAGTTACCTTATCTCATGCTTCAAATGTCCACAATAATCATGATCACAGTAATCAGTAAACCCTAGTGAATTTGAACTTGAATAATAGCATACAGAGTGCAAAAAAGCATCATTAACACTCCAAGTCTATCCTAAAATCTAATAAAGACTATATAATGATTCACAGTGGTAGAACTAATTTTGAGAAATCACCATCTTAGAGATAAGAAACTATGCCTTAAAAAGTAGCCTTTGAGAAGTAAGATGCCTAAGTGTATCAAAATGATTCACTACATCAAGCTAATATCAAATAGAAACATCATCATAATAACAGTTAAGACCTTCAAGCTTAATAGCAACAGCAATACTCACTGTTTACTAAGTTCAATAAGCAACATGCTCAGTCTAGGTAGAAATCCAGTAACTTTTCAAGTATAGTCAGGTCTAATGAAATGAGTCTTGAACGACAATAGCAGAGACATCAGTAGTAGCAGCAGTACCAAGGAAGTTTCAACAATTTAAATATGATGAATACTTTTAGTAACAGTAATAATAACAGTCTGAACTTCAACTTAGCTGGGAATAAGACTATAATCTCTGCAAATAACTCAATGATGTTCTAGACTACTTATGAGAAATCAAATTAATACATGTCAGTAGCTCATACCTTGAAGCCATCAACAGGTCAAGGAACAAGACGTAGAAATTTGAAGTCTCTTATTACTGCTAAAAGACAAATCATTAGCAATCTGAACACCTATAATACTATAGACAACAAGGACAACATCAATAGTACTCTCATTGTGAACAGAGTAACTTCTTTGGGAAGTGGTGGACTTGCAAGTGGGGGTGCATTTTAAACTACTTTCTCCACTGATAAAAACAGAGTGACTTCTGCTAATGTAATCTCCTCAAATGATCAAGGCAGGAACTCTATTAAGAATTTAAATGAAAATATCTATAAGCAAGTTGCCATAAAAAATAGTAAAGCTCAGTAGAATAATCTAAACAATTCCTTTGACACAAGGGACTTAGGCAAGAAATCATATTTGATTCAGCACTAGCAGCTATAACCTAAGAACTTGAACAGCAGTATGAACCTTCATGTAGAGGATTAACACAGTTCTATAATCACTGCTAACTTGGGATAGGCCGTTGATGTGGACAGTCAATTCTAGCAATAGAAAAACAGCTTGCTGCTCAGAAGAATCAAGAAGAAGAGTCAGTCTGGGGGTATCAGCAACTTCACCAATCAGCAAATACAAAACATGAGAGCTGCTGCTAACAACATAAATGTTATTAGCGGTGCCAGTGAAAGCCAGGATCCAAGTAATCATAGCTTAAAATGAAAGAGATCCTGAGTATTGATTGCTTCATACAGAATCATCAGAAATAATTTTAAATTATTTAATCTTTATTTCTTTAAATCACCATAGACTATAAAAATGTACTGTGGGGTTTTGGGGTTTTGGGGTTTTGGGG